GGGGGCAGGGTGGCAGGGCCCGCTGTGGGAGAGGCAGGGAGCGGAGTGTCTGGGCTCGTGCTGCGGGGGAGCCAGGGCGTCTGTGGCTCAGCTGCCGCTTCCCTCCCACGTGCCCTGCAGTGAGGAGAACACCCCGCTGGACCTGGACGACCACGGCGGCAGGACCTTCCTCCGGGTCCTGCTGCACCTGACGATGCACGACTACCCGCCCCTGGTGTCGGGGGCCCTGCAGCTGCTCTTCCGGCACTTCAGCCAGCGGCAGGAGGTGCTGCAGGCCTTCAAGCAGGTAGTCGGGCGCCCTGCACACGTGTGTCTGTGTGCGTGCACGTGCAAGTATTGCATGTGTGAAGTATGGTATATGCACACAGGTGTGCACATATGTGTTTTATTGTGAGCACATGCATGTGTGAATTATGGTGCATGCATGAGTGTGTGCACCGGTGTTTGTGTATTGTGTGTGTGACCTGCATGCGTGCGTGCGTGCATGTGTGTGCATGTGCATGTGTGTGATCTGCTGTTGCCATTAATGGGTTGCATCGTCCAGGTTCAACTGCTGGTTACCAGTCAGGACGTGGACAACTACAAGCAGATCAAGCAGGACCTGGACCAGCTGAGGTCCATCGTGGAGAAGTCCGAGCTCTGGGTGTACAAGGGGCAGGGCCCCGACGAGGCCATGGACGGCGCGTCTGGGGAAAACGAGCACAAGAAGGCGGAGGTGGGTGGAGCCCATAGCGCCCCTGAGGGAGGTGGATGGGCCCCTCGAAGCAGGCCCCCCTCCTCTGGCTGCGGTTGGAAGTGCAGACTGTGGGCTCCCCTAGGAAATAGGTGCAGTCGAGCCCCCGGTCGCCGGTCTCCTTGGACCGAGTGCAGGAGCCCAGGTTCCCCTTTCAAACCTCGGGACAGGGCCACTCTCCCCGCTGTGTGGCCGCCACCTCCCACGTCAGCGAAGTGACGACAGGCAGAGGGGAGTGCGGGTGGCGAATGACGGGCAGGAGCCCAGCAGGACAGAGAGACGCTGCAGTCCCCGTAGGGGTGCTGGCCCTGCGAACGCGCAGGCGCCAAGGTTGCTGGAAGCACTCACGCCCCCTCTGGCCCTAGGAGGGGAACAACAAGGCCCCGAAGCACGAGAGCACGAGCAGCTACAACTACAGGGTCGTCAAGGAGGTGAGTGCCAGCCCCAGGGCGGGGCGTGCAGGAGGCGGCCGGTCAATGATCCTCTCTCATCGTTGGTCTCCCTCTCCCTCTCCCTCTCCTTTCCTC